AGATTAATAGTGTGTGGTGGAAATATTATAGTGCCCATGTGTTGTACTCCCTCTCTAAAGAAATATATTTCTTTACGGAGGCAGTATCTTGTATGTATCCATCTTGCAACCTCAAAAATAAAGATGGTGTCAGGTCACTCCTGGGATCCAAAGAAAGGTGGACATGTTCTTAGCATCGTAATGCAGGAAAACTCGAATGTGGCACCCTAGGTGATCACAAGTCCGTAGGCAAAATCTGAGGCGGCGCCATACATATATACTAGATAAAGGGCTAAGATAAAACACTCAAAAAACCATGCATCGAGAAGGTTGTATATAAGCACCCATCATGCAATAAGAGACATACCACCATGTGTGCCTTATTAGCTTGCACCAATTTAAGCATGGAGCTAGTAGTTATTAAAGATGCATGTAGTTTCGTTACGCACCTGTTTCTTGAGCAACGACCAGGCATCCTCCTCCTCTAATTTGTTGACATGGTGGTAGGGAAGCTCAGCTTTCATCCCTCGGGCTACTTTTTCATCTCTAGTAGTGATGAGGACTCGGCTACCTCGAGCCACAACATTATCCAAGGGCGTTTTAAGCACATCAACCCATGCTCCATGATTCCATACATCATCTAGTACCAGGAATAGCTTCTTTCCTTTCAAGACAGTGGTGAGAACTGACTGAAGCACAACCAATGCCTTTTCACCTCCATGTACACCCCCCGCGACTGTGATGATTGTCCTTAGTAACTCAACCTTGTCAAAGTCCTTGTTGATGCTTAACCATATTGTGTTGTCGAACTCGGCCTTCATGGTTTCATCATTGATGACGTTCTGGGCAAGAGTAGTCTTGCCAATCCCGCCGACACCAACAATGGCCACGACCATGATGTTGGTGTTGCCCTCTTTTTCAGCTAACATGGTCTCAACCAGCGCTCTTGTGTCTTCTTTGATCTTCTCCCCAACTACACCTGCCCGGTCAAATTCCCCTGTCGTTTCACGGTCGGGATTAGCAGAACGAGTGACCTGCACTTTGCTGCTACGATCCTCATATGAACCGATATTGATGAAGCTGAAAGCAGCGCTTCGCTCCTTGATGGTGTCGAGCCTCTTGTTGAGTGCCTTGATGCGGGTGCCGATGTCATGGGCATGGGAGGGATTCTGCATGCAAAAGAGCAAGGGGTTGAAGCACCCCACATCTAAAGTGGACGAACGGCGCTCCATGGCCTTGAGCTGGCAGAGGTCGAGTATATCAGCAGCTTCGTACATGGCACGCTTGAGCTGGCCCACCCACTCTTGCACGCTCTTGTCGGTGATGTTTCTCCTGTCAGCGTCAGCGAGGAAGTTCTTGAGGTCCCTAAGTTTAATGTCCATCTTGTCGATCTCCCTTCTGAATCCAAGCAGCATGTGCACCTCTTCCCTCGCCATCTCCGTTAGCATGTTTAGCACATAGGATGCAAAAGCATCCAGGACCATCGCCATGTTTGCTGCGTTTCTGCTGTAACAAATTTTAACCACATATCATATCTTCCCTGCCAATCGTTGCAGCTGAAGATTGCTAGCCAAAATTATTGAAAAAAGGCAGCACTAGAATGGTAACATGGGCAGATGAGGAACGAGTTATAATTCATAAGCATGGGCAAGCTACCTAGATGGACAGATGCAAGCAAAACCAGCTGAACGTAAAGAGAGGGATGCAAAATTACCTTCAAGGTGGATGGATGTTGGGTCCTGCTCTAGCTCCTCTGTAGCAATTCAAAGGGCTAACAAGGACGAGGCACTATGTATATAAAGCCAAAGGGAAAAATAATTAGGTCTCTAGCCCTGTCATGTTACTAGATTACATGCAACTCGTATGGGATTAAACAAAACTCACACATTGTGATCGACGGAAACATCCGCACACGTTGAGCCTTGGATTATTCAGCAGGCCGGCCTGTTAGCTGGCAGCTAAGGTAGCTGATGAACGGTACGATACAATCGATGTCACGTCTGATGTTAAGAAACACCAACACAATTGGCTGTACCTAGATATATCCGTCTCTTATTAAAGGCATAAACCAGGACCCAGAAACACCAACAAAATTTTCCGGAATCAAGTGCCATACAACTCTGAAAAATTGTCTGTTTGTTTGGAAGCTGGCCAGAACCAGAAGACTCTTTGTGATTCGAATATCATGGTTTCACACTAGCCTAACTTGCTGCACAATGTACTACTACATTACACTATAATAGAGGCCTTTCTGATGGGCACCCATTGGTTAACTAGCACTAAATGTCACCATCTTCTACGGATATTTTGAGGCCTGGCAGTTTCCTAAGACTTCTTACAAGGTCGACCATGGGGCATGGGCCGGCATAACCTACGTTAGCTTCCAATGCCCTGCCTTGTGCATTACACAACTGGCACCTGATGTATATGAACTGCGTAGTGAATGAGGCAATATTATCAGTATTATCATAATGGACGATTGAAGATCCCTGAGTCAATTTCTGTGAGATCATCGATCATCAGGCAGAGTCATCCTTGGTGGAATCAAAATGAGTTCTGCATGGCTATGGTATGCTTTAACTGGACATAACAATGGTTTGTGTTGCTTATAAGTAATTCAGAGATGTGTATGGACAGTGAACTTGGGTACTTGTAAATGTACATTATGATGCTGGAACTGAACTGACTGACGCTCTCATCAAGCACAGCAAATACGGTATGTACGGAACCAAACAAAAAAATGTGCAGGTTCCAAAATGACTAGTAGCAAAATTAGGGATCAAAGAGTGAATTGAACAAACGGAATAGGGATAGGGCCTGGGTGCGGATGCGGTGGGTCCAGGACGTACTCTGACCGGCCGGGCGGCGCCGGTGGACGATGGAGGAGACGGCCGCGCTGCCCCCGCCCCCTGTTCGTCGGACAGCGCCGCCTGCGCCAACTACCTCACGGCGGACCCCGTCAGCTCCCTGTCCCGCTGCTGGCGAATCCTCCTGTAGCGGCGGCATGGTGGCGCCTGCGCACAACCATCCATCCAACCAGAGAGTCGCTCCGACGGCGCCGCCCGCGACCTTTCCCCGTCGTTGGGCCCGAAAAGGGCAAGCCCAGCCACAGCCTTGTCGGCCGAAACCCAACGATGCCCATTGCCGATGCTCCAACAAAGAGGCGGGCCGCAACGGGCGCGACTGTGTCTCGTTATATGCGAGACACACAGTCTCAAGCAGCGTCCAGAACGGGTCGGCCCAGCTGGTAACAGCCATCAAATAGTTCCTCCGTCCCAAAACTCTTGTCTTAGATTAGTCTAGATACGAATGTATCTAATACTAAAACGTAATTTAATACATCCATATTTAGACAAATCTAAGAAAAGAATTTTGGGACGGAGGGAGTAGTATCGATCCAACGACTTATATTGCTTTCATGGTGAGCGATAAACATGTCTAACGTGCAATTTATATAACATATCAAATAAAGAATATCCATGTAATTACGCATAATTGAAATCTTACCTAATACTAACATTCAAATAATTTTCTGGCTAATATCTACATGCAATTAATTTTTACCTAATATTAACATGCATTGCACGTATGAATTACTAGTATAATACCCAAAAACACTTTAATCAATTTAAAAATATTAATCAATCATTTAAAAAATGTCAAATGTGTACTGTTTTTTTCCTCATGTATACGAAAAATGTATGCCAAAAAATATACAATTTGTATGAGAAGAGTTGATCATGTCTAAAAAAAATTAATCAAGAATTCTAAAAATGCTGAAAGTGTATAAAAAATATTTTTCATGTACAGAAAATATTAACAAAAAATAGAAATATGTATGAAAACAATATTGATCATGTATTGAATTTTTCTAATGTGTACAAAAATATTCATCATCTACTTGAAAAATGTTAAACATGTATAGGAATTATTTTTCTTGTGTATACGAAAATTTTACAATCTGTATGAGAAAGGTAGAAATCAAACAAATATCTGAAAAATTATAAATGTGTATGAAAACAATGTTGATTTATGTTAGTTTGAAAAACAATCTTTTATTGTGGGATGGAGGAAGTACTTGAAAAAATGTTAACGTGTATAAGAAAAATGTTTCTGATATATGTGAACAATGTACAATCTGTATGAAAAAAAAGTAGACATCAAAACACATATCTGAAAAAAAAAATCATGTAATCGAAAAATGTACATTGTGTGTGAAAATATGTTTATCGTCATTAAGAAAATGTTCACACGTATTTTAAAAAACAGAAAAATAGAGGAAAAACCTTCAGCGAGACGAGAGCTATCCTCACTGGTCGAGGGATCATGGCAAACTACTGGAGGCCAGAAGTAAAGATAGCCCACCAATTAATGTATTTCTAAATTCGGTAGTTACATTGCCGTTTTAAAGCTTGTCGCCGATACATAAAGTTCAGACTACTTAACAACACTCGTCTTTGCCAAACACATAGATGACCAGAATTATAAAATGTTTCAGTTCATGTTGCAGCGTCGACGCAATCTTTGGCTCCATTGCGACGTCTGCTCTTTCATGCATTCAAAAGCTCCAACCAGCAGGATGTTGGCTTCCCTTCGACCTAATCAAATCAAGGTTTTAGTTGTATCAGTATTTTTCATCTCCGAGGATCATGTAGCTGCTAATCATTTTTGTCCACATAACCCGTGCTATCGAATAAATCATCATTAAAGCAATTGCCAATACTGAAAGGGAAATACATAAGAGCCACAACTTATAGGTACAGAGGGAAATACATTGCTCATAGGTGCCAGTTAATTTTCTTCCTTAGTTATGTAATTACTCCCTCCGTTCCTAAATATTTGTCTTTCTAGACATTTCAAATGACTACTACATACGGATGTATGTAGACATATTTTAAAGTGTAGATTCACTCATTTTGCTCCGTATGTAGTCACTTGTTGAAATGCCTAGAAAGACAAGTATTTAGGAACGGAGGGAGTAATATATAACAAAGGGAATTTATGTGTTGCAAATTCCGCAGCTACATTGCCATTGCTTGTCGCCGATACACAAATTTCAGACTACTTAACAAAACTCGTCTTTGCCAAACAGATAGATGACCAGAATTACAAAATGTTGTGTTCAGTTCATGTTTGCAGCATCGATGTAATCTTTGGCTCCATTGCGACGCCGGCTCTTTCATGCATTCAAAAGCTCCAACCAGCAGGATGTCGGCTTCCCTTCCACCTGATCAAATCAAGGTTTTATTTGTATCAGTATTTTTCATCTTTGAGGATCACGTGGCTGCTAATCTTTTTTGTTCACATTCCCCGTTCTATCAAATGAATCATGATTAAAGCAATTGTCAATACTGAATGAGAAATACATAAGGGTCGCAGCTTATAGCTACAGAGAGGGAAATACATTGTTCATAGGTGTGTTAGTTAATTTTCTTTCGTGGTTATGTAATTAATATATAACAAAGGGAATTTATCACCTAAAGGTTATCACTAACAGCCATATCGGAGAAAACAAACCAGGAAAAAGAGAACTTGTATATTGCTGTAATGGAAGGAATAACAAGACTTTTGCACAGACTGCAGTGTACCTAGAATGAAGCTGGCGGAAAGAAGTTTTTTCAGTTAATTACCCCCTAAGCCTGATGCACCTACCTCATGGTCCTCCTCTGGATCTACTAAACAGATGAAGGATGGAAACAACAGGAGGAATAAATATGAGAAATTAGTGGACAGAGTAACTAGATGAACAAATTGAGATGTAAGAGCAGTTGTGTTAATTCACCTCCCGATTCGGATGACATTCTGGCCAAGAAAAATTGCGACAACATATCCCTTGCCCTGACAGCGTCCTCATTTGCTAACTGGCGCACTTGCTGATGGTAACTCCAATCCTCAGTGTCAGAGCTTGGCATGGTTGCATCATCCTCCATATCTATGACTATGTTATGCAATATGCAGCAGGCATTGATTATGTTACTCATAGTGTCTGGATTGACCGGCCACCATGTCCCCTCTTGCAGGTACTTCCATGTGTCTTTGAACCTTGCCAGTACATTATTCAGCGTGCAGGTTGTGGCTGCAGAGTGTCTCCTATTGAACTCCACCTTGGAGTCTGAGAGCTCTTCTTCCTTGTAAGGCGTGAGTAGCCAGGGGAGAAGAGGGTATTCTAAATCACCAATTATGTATTCCCCGACTTCTGATCCATCTAATGCTACCTTCATGCTGCCATTCAGCAAATCACCCTTCTGGCACTCATTGAAGAGTGAAGAGTTGTGTAAAATGCTCAAGGGGTTCATGCTATCTGTCGATGCCAACCAAATGTTTGTGAACCTCATCTCTGGATCAACGATGACTTGCATTATAACACTGCAATTATTCTCACTGTCGCGGTTTGGTCCAAATGGGATCTGAGTTGTACATATAACACCGCAGCAGTTATTCATATTGAGGATCTTGTCAAACATGGATTTGATCTTATACATTCTACTGGAGTCTGGCCAAAGTAAGTGATGCTTTGCTCGGTTGCACAACACAGCAACAAAGCTCTCAGTTACCAACAAGACGGTTGACTCGTGCACACCAAGAGTGGATCCTATCGTCTCCGGTGGCTCACTAGAGTACAACCTTCTGAGAACAATGGCTACTAGATCTTGTAAAGACAGCTCCCTCCCGTCAGTAAAGGTGTAGCATGTCATATAATTCAATTCCAGACTCACCAAGCTGCAGATATACCTAAAGGTTCTTCTTGTCATTCTGAAGACAGACTCAAATGTTTGCGCATCCTCCAAAGAAAATAAGGTTCCTGCATGAGAAGAATTGAAGAAAACAGTGAAGTAATTACACACTCGAGAACTTGCAAGGCAAGAGCTCTGCTGTGACGGTGTTAATATGGAACAGATATTATTTAGCAACATGAGAGAGTGCAGCCAAATCGGAAAGTAGCATTCATCAACAGTAACCATTACGAAATGATTAGAAGCCAGTCATCTGTTTTTTTACATAAAAAGGTAGTAATGTCAATGTTGATATTACTACCATGTTTTTGTTGACCTACTCTGGAAGGATGCATTCAAGAGAATGAAAAGGGAATATATTCAAACTCCAACATATAATCAAATAAACAGAGCACACAAACAAATTAAGATAAATGAGCAATGCCAATTTACCTCTATACATGAAAGCAGAGCTGCTGACATTTGTCTCCAAGTTGTAGGGATTAGTTGTGTACAATGCATACCATTTCCTTGGATTATCTTCTTCATGTGCATATGCCTTGACATGCTCAATATGGCTGAACTTGTCCCACTCAGGACCAGATTGTGCCACGGCTATGGAAGCAAGCAGCGCCAGGCTGCAGTAGAGCTCCAAACGCCTTGGGTTTATACTTCCCATGTATTCTGGGAGTGTTTCCATGTCGTCATCTTTGAGCATGAGCCTTTGTAATGCAGGAACACCCTCCAGCACCTTCAACTTTGGGCAATGGGTGACAGTAAGCTTCTGCAGCCTGGGGAGATTAGTGATCCTCTCCAAGTCAAAGTTCTCAATCACTTGCAGCTCGATAAGGGAAGCAACGTTCTCTAGAGAGATGAGACCCTTGACCTGCTGTATGGATAATACCTTCAAAGCCCTTGCCTGGGAGGCAAGGCCAGGAGGAAGACGCCTCAAATTGCATTCTAACAGAATAAGCTCAGTCAGGGCAGGAAAGGCTTGCACTTGCTCCTCCCACTTCCACTCCTCCCATTCCACCAAGCCCATTAACTTCATCGTGTGCAATCTTTGAAATGAAACCGCATGTGAAGGATGAGGATAGGACTGCAGGAATTCATGTCCAACACGCTTGATGGCTGGGGCACGATCAATCTGAAGGAACTCCAAATAAGGAAGCTGACACAAGCCATCAGGAAGTTGTGTGCACGAAGCCAGATCTTCAGCCATCAGAATCCTCAAGTTCTTGAGGGGCATATCTGACGATGGCATCATCCACCTTGGGTGTCGTCGGCCAAAATATCCTTCGATAGCAAGAAAATTTAAGCTGGGAGGAGGGCAGAGTTCATCAAACACCTTCTCGATTTGTTGGGTCTCTTCTTCAATCAGCCTGTCATCCCCCAATCTACTACCACAGGTTAAGCATAGGTTGGTAAGATGCAACTTCTCAACAAGCTTTGCCTTTGCTGCGAACGAGGAAGCAGTTACATTCTCCAACCCCTGTATTTCAAGATACTTGAGCCGAGAAAGAGGGCCCAACTCTTCTAAACTGCACCAATCACCATCCACCCGGGCCGGAAATCCATTTACTTTCCTCAAATTTGTCAGAACACAGAACCCCCTAGGTATGCCATTTATACTTGTTTTCTGGAAGTTAAGGTACCTTAGGTGTCCTAAGTTTACAATGCTATGTGGAAGTTCTACAAATTGTTGGCATCCTCTAAGGCTAATGTACTGCAAGAATTTCATTTTACCAATGCTTTCTGGAAGACTACAGATATCTGACCGTTCTAGAGATAAGTACCTCAAGTGCTTGAATTCATGCAATGATTCAACCAACGCGGGATGTGCAGACTCTATATGCAGAGTTCGTAGACATGGAAAATGAACCAATGAATTACCGGGCTTCATATTTATATGGCCAACTGAAATTAGTGTTCTCAGTGTGTCTTGTGCTTGTAAAGAACTCCAGTCTAACCCATCTGATCCCGATGCTTTGCTTTCTAGCGACAACCGAAGAAACTTACGTGCACAAAGTTTACTAACAATATTACTTTCTCCACTGTGACCTGCTAATGCCTCATCTCTAGCCACAAATTGAGCAAACGAGCGAACGACATCATGCATGTTGCAAAATAATTGATCAATGTACTCTGAATCTGGCTCTATAAGGTTCCTCTGTATCAACTCCTTATAGTACTTTCTTCCTAATTCTTCCAAGTCGTCTGAGGGTCCATGTAGAAATCCTTCACTAATCCACATGCCAATTATGTCCTCTCTTAGAAACTTTGCAGCTTTAGGGAGAAGGGAGTAGCATAGAAAGCATTGTTTGATGCAAGAAGGTAAATCTTCATAACTCAAATATACTGCATGGTTTAGCTCTTTGGGCATTCCAGATACTGACCATATAGAATCATCCAGAACCATCTTCCAGTCACTGTGTTGATTATCCTTCTGACACAAGAGTCCTCCCATTACTTTGACAGCAAGAGGCAAGCCATCACATTTTGCTACAATTTGCAAGCCAATATCCTTGAGCATATCGATCTCACGTACATCAGTCGCACTTGAGACTATCTATAAAAAAATTAAACCAATTGATTCAGTAAGGAGCGGGCTGTCTTCAAAGAAAAATGGTGGTCTATTAGCAGCTAGTGCATATTCAGTTTCAGTTAATAATATGCTCATGAAGAAAAGAAACTAGCGAGAGATCAGTCAATCTGTCAATGAACTACCTAAACTGAATTTGTCAAGTGAATGAATCGCTAACCAGGGGGGTTGTTGTCAACAAGGATACCTAACACGTGAATGTCTAACATCATAACATATGCTACATGCTCACCCAAACAAGGTGCTAAGATTTTTCCTTTCCTTTTAACCAGGATGCTTAGTTTCTATACAATTACAAACCAAATTCTGTATTTAATTATGTCGATGAATATTACAATACATACATCCATACTTAGGTGGAGTCATATTTTTTATACAACTACAAAATCAAACCATAGGCTGGGTGGCTAGTTGAGGTGGTTGTACCCAACCATTGTTTTTAAAACCGAATCGTTGAGGCTATCGGTTCAGTTCACTAGTCAGACGCCGGTTCACCAGTTTAGGGCTCCTTTGATTCATGGGATTTCCATAGAATTTCATAGGATTGTGATCCTACGGATTTTTTCCTGTGATAGGTGCTTGATTTGCCGAACGCAATCCTTGGGAATCCTATAGAACTTTCCCTAGTCCATTTTATAGGAACTTTCCATGAGGTCTGACCTTTTTACAAGAATCCTGTGATTTTCCTATGCTGCCATCTGTTTTTTCAAAAGAACCCACTTGTGTCAATTCCTCTGTTTTTCAATTCCATAGAATTCAAGTGAGCAGGGTATAGCAATCCTCCATTTTTCCTATCTTATGAATCGAAGCAGCCCTTATTGTCTCGTTTTTTACGCCATAAAAAAATATTTTCTGTACTAATGTTGTACATGTCAAATAAGCTCATTCTCTTGTAGTATGTGACAAGAACACAGGCCAACCGAGTTGGTTACAGGGCCAAACCTGGAAGCTTTGGCCTGTTACGGTTTATTCCCGGTTAGCATAACAACCGCCCAGTTCGACGATAGCACGACATGTGTGGTGGCTTCCTTAATCTTGAATTTTTTATATATATGCTTTCTCACAATCTGGACTTACCAAATAAGCATAATTAGCGAAGATGCATGGAGTTTGGCTATGTACCTGTTTCTTGAGCAATGACCAGGCATCATCCTCCTTCAATTTGTCAACGTGGTGGTAGGGAAGCACAGCTTTCATCCCTCGAGCAACTCTCTCATCTCTAGTAGTGAGGAGGACCCTACTACCTCGAACCAGAGTATTAGCCAAGGGTATTTCAAGCACATCACCCCATGCTCCGTGACTCCACACATCATCTAGCACCAGCAATAGCTTCTTCCCTGACAGGGCAGTAGTGAGAATTGGCTGAAGCACAGACAACACCTTTTCACCAGAGTGTTTTCCCCCAGCAAGGGTGATGATTGTCCTGAGCAGCTCAACCCTGTCGAAGTCCTGGTTGATGCTCAACCATATTGTGTTGTCAAACTCGGCCTTCACCGTTTCGTCATTGAAGACCTTCTGGGCAAGAGTGGTCTTACCGATGCCGCCGACACCAACAATGGCGACCACCATGATGTTGGCGTTGCCCTCTTTTTCAGTCAACATGATCTCAACCAGCTTTCTTGTGTCTTCTTCGATCTTCTCCCCGACTATACCCGACCGATCGAACTCCCCTGATGTCTCACGGCTGGTATTTCCAGAATGAGAAGCGTGCACCTTGCTGCTACGGTCCTCGTATGAACCAAGATTGATGAAGCTGAAAGCAGCGCTTCGCTCCTTGATGGTGTCGAGCCTCTTGTTCAGACCCTTGATGCGGGTGGCGATGTCGTGGGCATGGGAGGGATTCCGCATGCAAAAGAGCAAGGGATTGAAGCACCCGACATCCACAGTGGACGAACCACGCTCCATGGCCTTGAGCTGACAGACGTCGAGTATGTCGGCGGCTTCGTACATGGCACGCTTGAGCTGGCCCACCCACTCTTGCACGCTCTTGTCTGTGATGTTCCTTCTGTCAGCATCGGCAAGGAAGTTCTTGAGATCCCCAAGCTTGACATCCATCTTGTCGATGTCATCTCTGACTCCAAGCAGCATGTGCACTTCTCCCTTCACCATCTCCGTGAGCATATTTTGCACATAGTATGCAAAGGCGTCTAGGATCATCGCCATTTTTGCTGCGTTGTGGCTACAGATTAAGCAGAGTCAGCTATGGATGAACCACAAAAGCAAAAGCTGAGAGACCCGAGACTGCTGTCAGCTGGGATTCACGAGTTAGATTTTTTTCCCCTGCACTTCAACTTTCCCCAACCTCACGCCGTCGTCACCCAGACCCAGACGCGTTCCGCCCGGCTCGCCAGCTCCCCAACCGCGGCCGTCAGCCACCGCGAAGGCACCGCAACCCAACGTGGTGACCTGCGTTGCATCCACCACGGCCAGTTAGCCGAGAGTAAAATTCAGATAAAATTCACCGCCGAAGCAGCGCTATGCGACGCAATCAATCAATTCAAGCTCACGTCTTGGCTTTGGGCGCCGGGTGGGGAGCCCGTCCTTGTCGACGGCGAGCGGGTACTCGGGGAAGTCGATGTCCTCCGCCGGGCAAACTGACGGCCGCCGCGATAAACCAACGCGGGCACCGCGAGGCGTGTGTCCCACCACCGCGTGGTACTCCTCCAACAATGGCCCCGTCAGAGCGCCGCCGGCTCCGCTTCAAGAAAATGAAACTCCGGCCGGAGGGCCTCCCACGCCTGCTGCAGCTCCGCACCTGCGCCTCCGCCTCCTTTTCTCCGAGATCCCAGATCGGATCCTCACGATTTGTAGCGAGGCAGTTGGATTTGGGCTGGCTGGATCTTGCTCTATCTCCGGCGGATTTGGATCGGCTTTGTGTCTGGTGTGGGGCGCGGCATGGAGGGTCACATGAAAGTTAGCGGGGGAGCTGCTCCAACCACACTTCACAAGTCAACGACGGCTCAAGCAACTCCAACGCGCCGACCCGATTTTGTCTTTTTTTTTTAAATCAGTCGAGCAGATGGGTGTGTCCTTTTTTTTTGTTTGGGTCAGCCAGGCGCCCACGGAAGGGGATACATTTTTTTCCCCAAATGCTAAAAAGTGCTTGGATGCTGGTTTGCTCGCGCGAGCACACGCTCTGATAGTCGTCCGATCTCGAAGTCGCACGGGCGATCGTGCGCAGGTGTTTTTTTGTCTGGCCGGCTCGCGCGACCCTTCACGACAGGCATAAACCTGCAAGGGCCCACCACTACCGCCCACACCTCGGTGCCGTTGGCGCAGTTTTCGAAACTGCCTGGCGAGGGGCGCCGCTGTCTCCCAATCCCTTTCCGCTTTCCTCCCGCACCACGCCACCGTTCGCCACCGCAGAAATTGGAGATCTCGCCGGCCCGTGGAGAGGTTGCCGTGCTGGGCAGAGGTCACCGGCATCCGCGGAGACCGCGGGTGGTGGTGTTGAAGCCTGTGCAGGGGGCGACGGGCAGGGGGTGCGTGAGGCTGTGGTGGTGGTGGTGGGCCGAAGCTGGGCGAAGGTCGCCATGGTGCTCCAAACTGTCGGAGGGTGCGGGGTTGAAGGTCGGCTGGACGCTGCGTTTCCACCGCGGGGAGTCGACGAATTTCTGAGGTAAGGTGCATCTCCTGGTTCCCATGGTTCGAAATCTCTCCTCCCGCTCGGTGATAGGTGGTGGTGGTGCGTTTTTGAAAGGTTGAGGGGCTGAAGGTAGGGGGAGACGCGAATCACGTGCGGTAGATCTGCCGTTTGCGGTTGCCAGGGTTGTCAGGGGTACGAGTTTGCGTTCTATAGGGGTGTTGCCTGAGATCCCTGCATGATTTTTGCGTATGAGTTGCTATGCAGATTATGCGGGTGTTGCCTGACATCTGCATAGGAGGTGCCTGTCATTTTCTGTGTAAGTTGCCTGAAGAGCTTAATATGTATGAGCTTGTTTGTAGATTCTGGATTTGTTGCCTGAAATCTGCACAGGAGTTGCCCGACATCTTCATAAGAGTTGCCTAGCATTTCGTGTATTAGTTGCATGAAGAGCTTAATATGTATGAGTTGGATTTGTAGATTCTGGTTTTGTTGCCTGAAATCTGCACAGGAGTTGCCCGACATCTTCATAAGAGTTGCCGAGCATTTCGTGTATTAGTTGCCTGAAGAGCTTAATATGTATGAGTTGGATTTGTAGATTCTGGCTTTGTTTGTGCCTGAAATCTGCATAGGAGTTGCCCTCATTTTTATTGTATTGTCTTTTGTCTGAACAGTCCATGTGTTGGGTTGTATTTGTTAGGGGTGTTGTTTGAGATCTTCGTAGTTTTTGTCATGAGTTGGGTTGTTTTTTTACGGGCGTAGGAAGTTGCCTCAACTGACCTTTTTTTAGGTTTACTTTTTCAGTTTTCACATGAATATCTAGAGATGCTAGGGTAGTTTTTGTGTAGTATTTCTACTGAAGGAATGGACTAGAGACGCGAGAGATATACTGTCACCACTCTTAAAGTTTGAAATTCCAAAATTAGGATCAGTGGCCTTTTTTTACATGATGTGCTGGTGGTCTGCATCAATCTTTTTGACGTTCTATTATTACAAACCATACCACATCTCTGTTAAACCAACTAAATGGTGTTGTATTTGTCATAGATCATATATACAGATTGCAGATTGTTGCTTTTTTCTGTTAAAATGAAGTAGATTGGGATCTAGTGATGCGGCTAGAGAGAAAATGGGGGCATGATGAGCGTGAGGTGTTGCCGCCCATCTCTTGTCTGAGCTGAGGAAGACGATGACGCCATGACTAGTTTTTGTGTAGTTTTTTCACGCAAGAGTTGCATAAAACTATGTTGCAGAGTTGCCACACGCCAGTACATGAGTTGCCTACATTTTTTGTTAATTCTGACAGTTTACTAAAACCAATGTTTTTGTTATGGGGAGGGGGTAGGTCGGTGGCACATCAGCAAACTATACAGTTGTTGATTGAGATATTAAATAGCCAAATACAGTGTCATGTGTAGACAAGTTTTCCATCATAACGGAGAGGATTTGTAAATGTGGCTTTTTTCTTACCTATCCTTTGCTCATATCCTTATTTGTGTTATGTTTATTTTTTGTAGAAATCAACAATGTCTGAGACAAACAAGAAAATTGACAGACAGGCTGCACAAGCAACCCAACAGGATGCAGATGAAATAGAGGTATTTTGGTTTTTCATTTTTCTGCTAGTGCTCTTTTAGAAGGTGAGGCAGGGCTGAGTTGTTTTGCATGTACGAGTTAACTGACTTTCTTTTTTGCAATGTAGGTTCACCTACCACTGCAATAAGGCAAGTTGTTAATTGGCTACAAGCGTAGCCGTACTAAAGGGATGATCTTGAAGGAAATATGCCCTAGAGGCAATAATAAAGTTATTATTTATTTCCTCATATCATGATAAATGTTTATTATTCATGCTAGAATTGTATTAATCGGAAACATGATACATGTGTGAATACATAGACAAAACTATAGTCACTAGTATGCCTCTACTTGACTAGCTCATTAATCAAAGATGGTTATGTTTCCTAACCATAGACATGTGTTGTCATTTGATTAATGGGATCACATCATTAGAAGAATGATATGATTGACATGACCCATTCCGTTAGCCTAGCACTTGATCGTTTAGTATACTGTTATTGCTTTCTTCATGACTTATACATGTTCCTGTAACTATGAGATTATGCAACTCCCGTTTACCGGAGGAACACTTTGGGTGCTACCAAACGTCACAACGTAACTGGGTGATTATAAAGGAGTACTACAGGTGTCTCCAAAGATACATGTTGGGTTGGCGTATTTCGAGATTAGGTTTTGTCACTCCGATTGTCGCAGAGGTATCTCTGGGCCCTCTCCGTAATGCACATCACTATAAGCCTTGCAAGCAATGTAGCTAATGAGTTAGTTACGGAATGATGCATTACGTAACGAGTAAAGAGACTTGCCGGTAACGAGATTGAACTAGGTATTGGATACCGACGGTCGAATCTCGGGCAAGTAACATACCGATGACAAAGGGAACAACGTATGTTGTTATGCGGTTTGACCGATAAAGATCTTCGTAGAATATGTAGGAACCAATATGGGCATCCAGGTCCCGCTATTGGTTATTGACCGAGAATGGTTCTAGGTCATGTCTACATAGTTCTCGAACCCGTAGGGTCCGCACGCTTAAACGTTACGATGACAGTTTTATTATGAGTTTATAAGTTTTGATGTACCGAAGTTTGTTCGGAGTCCCGGATGTGATCACGGACATGACGAGGAGTCTCGAAATGGTCGAGACATAAAGATTGATATATTGGACGACTATATTCGGACACCGGAAATGTTTTGGATGATTTCGGAGAAAAACCGGAGTGCCGGGAGGGTTACCGGAACCTCCAGGGAGAGTTTGGGCCTTATGGGCCTTAGGGGAAAGGAGAGAGGGGCGGCCAGCATGGGCCGCGCGCCCCCTCCCCCCTCTGGTCCGATTGGACTAGGAGGGGGGGCGCCCCCCCCTTTCCTTCCCCCTCTCCCCCTTCCTTCCCCCTCCTAGTAGGAGTAGGAAAGGAGGAGTCCTACTCCTACTAGGAGGAGGATTCCTCCTCCCTTGGCGCGCCCAAGGGGCCGGCCGGCCTCCCCCCCTTGCTCCTTTATATACGGGGGCAGGGGGCACCCCATAGACACACAAGTTGATCTACGGATCGTTCCTTAGCCGTGTGCGGTGCCCCCCTCCACCATATTCCACCTCGGTTATATCGTGGCGGAGTTTAGGTGAAGCCCTGCGCCGGTAGAACATCATCATCGTCACCACGCCGTCGTGCTAACGGAACTCATCTCCAGAGCTTTGCTGGATCGGAGGCCGGAGATCGTCATTGAGCTGAACGTGTGCTGGACTCGGAGGCTCCATACGTTCGGTGCTTGGATCGGTCGGATCGTGAAGACGTACGACTACATCAACCGCGTTGTGCTAACGCTTCCGCTTACGGTCTACGAGGGTACATGGACGAACACTCTTCCCTCTCGTTGCTATATCATCACCATGATCTTGCGTGTGCGTAGGAAATTTTTTGAAATTACTACGTTCTCCAACAGATCTATCATGGCAAGCAAGCATCATACATAGATAGCAACGCCAGTGCACTAGATGATGATTTAGAGA